TATATATATATAAAATATATATGTAAAGAACATCGCGCTTTATCGAAAGTACGTCAAGTATATTTAACGAGATAATCTCGTTGCATTCTTTCATTCCGGTCAGCAGACGCTTCGGGTGTAAAGCACGCGTGTAGAAAATTTCCGACAGGTCTCTACATCCTTTCTGCCATATTTCGACAAAGAGAGAGAGAGAGAGAGAGAGAGAGAGAGAGAGAAAGTTGATAAGAGAACAAAAAATAGCAGCTCGAATCGCGCGCTCGCAACAATAACACTCCATATTTTTGTTAAAAGGCGCAATAACCGCGTCTCTCGTTCTTTCTCTCTCATCAATTTAGGGGATGAAATAAAATTCCACGCTTCCCTCGCAGACGGATGCTGTGAAAAAGAGGATAAGTACCGAAAATATCTTACGTCGAGTGTCCTCTGCAACCCCTTTCATTTCTCGAAAATGAGAAAGCTGTGATTTACACTCTCTCGCAGTTCCGCTCAACGACTCGCCCGCGCATTGTTTTTCATAGGCATTGCACGACCCATAGCGCTGCATAAATTTCCATCTATAATTTAAGGCGTGCGCGACTCGCTCGCTCGCGGATCCGCGCCACCACCTTCGGATGCAGACGTCAGCCATGAAGGGACCCAATTCCGCGAGACTCTCGCGCGAGTTCGTATGGGTATCACACACACACACACACACACACACACACACACACACACACACACACACACATATATATATATATATATATATATATACTTCCAGATGCTACAGAGAGAAAGGTAAACGTTAAAGTTTTCCCCCCTCGAAGTTGCAGTCGCGGTCGGGTATCCTTGACTCGGGTGTGCGCTCCTACTCCAGCAAGTTTTCTCCGCAATTTCCCCATGTCTACCTCTCTAGATCGGAGCGAGTCGAGAGGCGGCTAGGAGAGGCTACGTATATATTATACATGGTCGACGTGCAGACGTGCAGACGGGAACCGGAACGTCTCGATGTCTAAGATCTACGCTCGAAAAATACCTACATGCTCGCGCGGCGCGGCGCGGCGCGGCGAGAAATGAGAATGGCGAGATAGAGAAGTCGCGTCTGTAGAACGTGCGAGCGCACACACGGAGCGGACGATCGTTCATTTTGCGGTGGAATCGAAAAGGATTTTGCGAAATTCGCGACGATCGCTGCCGTCGCGATCGCGGCGGTAAACAACGCGATAAATCGTCCCGCATCGATAGCTCCCTAATTCAGCGGAAATTGAGATACAAGTGGCGGTTGCTGGCTGGATGTATCGACCGATGCGCAACATTGGCGATGGCTGGCAAAGGCAAAGCCCAACCCTCCTCCCCCTCCTATATTCTCTCACCTTGTTTCTCTTTCTCTCTCGGGACAATGCGTTCACCCGTCAAATATTCTCGACAGATCCAAATGCGTCACGTTCACGCGACGAATTTTGCTCGGAGCTGCGATTTCGGTGAGTTTAATTCTCGATTCGTAAAGTGGAAAAAAAAACGTATTCCGCATCTGTCCCCATTACCATTATCCCGAGTGGAGATCATTTTCGCGCGGCTGTAACATGGTGATTCGTAATAACGACTTTATATGTTCCAGTCTCGATGTGCTGAGCGAATCGGAGCGTGTTTTAAAATGTATAATGTAACAGGGTGGCACACACACGAAAAAATCAATATCAATAAAAGTTTTATTAATAACTAGCGAGTTGTCCGTACTTCATACGATCATATTTCTGATGCCGTTTCAAAACGAAAATATTTAATAATTAATTGTTAATTCGATTAATTTTCAAAAATATTACTTTTTAAAAAATATTATTACCGCTGTAGAACTATGGAGAGGAATTAATGTTAGGGAGGAATTAATGCGTCTGGTGTTAAAATTCAGATCAAATTGATGGCTTTTTTTTAAATAACGTTATTTCAAATAAACAAATAAATGGAAACAGATTAAGAATTATTCGATTAATTATTTTACAAAAATATTAACGGTTTCGACAATATTGATAAGCTGTTTTCAATTAATATTGTTTTGAAAAAACAAAAAATATACAGATTCGACTTTATTATTAGAATAAATAAAAGAATAACGAATGTCATGTTCGCTGCCGATAGAGACCATTTTCAGTACATTAAAAAAAAATGGTAATAACATTGCGGTTGACCCACTAACCCATTAAAAATATAATTGTAAAGAGAATTTTATTAGATTTCCCACTATAATATTATTTTCTAAAAAATTTTAATAGCAAAATCCGAGGTGCGAAATTTTCAGAAAAGAGGTAGCGCTCGACGACAGATAATGGCGTGAGCATGGTCGCATACGGCCTGACGCTATTTTTATGCACTTGACGTCGAGACGCTGCCGTGTGATAATAATAACATAGCAAAATAACTTTTCAGGATGTAATAACGCTAACACTGAACTACCCTTTCCGCGCGTCAATCTGTGTAAAACAGACACACGGCGAGTCTGCTTTAAAAAATCCGATAATAGATTTAGGAGAAAGAACGAGATCAAATCGCGCTTTTCAGTTTACAAGTATCAAATTTCATATTTGATATTTTGCGATAAATATGTATATACATTTTATATCTCTTTCATTTTCTAAAAGTTTTCCAATGATAAAAATTGATTCGTTCCTTGACCTAAATTTTATATTGCATTTTCGCACGTTGAAATCCAATTCTATTTTCATTATCTAGTTTCTACGGACATACATAATATTTTTGGATAAAACTTAAACAGATTCGTATTATTATCACTAACGTTCGAATCATGAATTATTAATAATTGAGTTGAACATTGAACAGATCGATGAGTGGAATAAAAAAGTACATATACATTTACATGTGCAGTCGTTTAACTGAGATATCGAAAGAATCGTAGAAACAAATCTATAGGATATGATCGTGAATGATAAGTCTACAATGACGTTGCATAAACGCTAAATTTGCTTCTATCATGCTTTATTGGTTTCTCATGTGTGTTCAGCGCTATATATATCTAATGGTGGAACATGTTTTTCTCTCATGAAAATCCGCATATCCACCGATGGGTCTTACATTTTGTTCTCAGCCCGATATGGTTATTCGTATACACGGGTTATATGGATTTTTATGTATACCGATAGAATGTTCCCGTCTCTCGGAACATTAGTTTGGCCGGCTTTATTATATTATGTATTTTCGAGAAATTTCTTACGGATATACAAAAATTCTACATCTGATAGTTTTATTATATTACTTGTTTTTAAGAGACTCTTTTCTAAAGTACAAATGCCAATCATCCGACAGTTGTATATTTTTACTGATCTACAATTTTTATAAATGTATAAAAAGTTTTATAGATACAAGGAAAGGAATTTAAGTAGGTTCGGGATAATGTAACTCAATTTTACAATCATGCTACTAAGCAAAGAATTAGATATAATATTACATGTAAATATTTATAATCTACATTTTAAGATTTGAATTCTTTCGTACATAGTCTTCATATATATATTTATTATTATTTTTTAATAAATGTTGCAAATTTATGTACGATGATTTATATTACCAGAAAATTATTTCTAAAGTGTTTTCTGTGATTTTCTCTTAAGATGAAATTTAAAAACTCACATTTATCTCTCCACTTCGCTACGTTATAAAGTATTGAATCTCCTATAAATTGATGTTTCATTAAACACATTTACCGAAATTGGAAGCTTCCAAGCTATTAAAAATGAAATAAGATTTTATGATACTACTTTTTCTCTTACGTATTAAATTAGATTCCTTACATTTCAAATTTCATGGAAAACAGAAAAAAATGAAAAGTCATGACATCTTTATGAAAAGTCGTCAGGAATTCTGATCAGTCATCGTCTTCAATTTAATCGAAATTGAGAAATATATCTGGAGACTGACGAAAGAAGATGTAAATATCCAAATCTACGAATAATTAACCAATTTTCGATTGGACGTGTTATTTTTGTGCGCGGCCGGGAGTCTGTAGAATCCCTCAGTGGCCTCAAATATATCCCCCACATTACTGCCTATTAAATATCATTATTTATTCAACAATTGGGAATTCCGATCAAGAATTATTAATTTTAATCTAAATAAAATTGAGAGAAATATATTTGAGCAGTAATTTAAAGAACATGCTATAAGTGAATTATAATAATTTATTAATTTTTAACGAACCTTGTATTATATAACGCTCATAAGTCGACAAAGGACTTGGACGGATCCGTAATCAAATAATAATAAAAAAGAATCAGTCTTCAACAATATATAAGAACAGATAATTGGAAAAAAGAAAAAGAAAGACAAAAGGAAAGAGCGTAACATCGTGTCCCAGAAAAGAAGGAGTATTCTTATTGAAAAAGTGATAAATCCATGAAGAAGAGATAAATCCACATTCAGGGATTTTACTGTATTTTACTGTATTTCACAAGGACAGGAAAGATCATCAACTCACCTCCGTGTCGTTCCACCACATGTGCAACCGATAGTCCCTGAGTATCGTCGGGTGCTCGTTGATGTGCTCCACCGCGAGCTTCACCGCGGGCATGACGCCGCGGCCGATGTGACCCTCCGGCACGTGATTGCCGTACGGGAAGAAGCCGGCGATGTAGACGTCGCGCTTCTTGCTGCCGCCGAGATTGATCGGCTTCTGGCCGACGCATTCGCCGATCATCAGCAGCCAGCAGCAATACACGATCGTAGTGAGCAGCATCAGCGAACGACGTCTCGAGCTACCGCCAATCACCGTAGTGGACATTTCCCTGGCTGTCCTCATCCCGTTCCGTTCTCTCCCCTTCACCCAGTCAATCCCGACGACATCCCGCGATGTGGAGGTAACTCGCGCTTTCATCTCGTGCTCATCCAGATCACCACCGGGTACAAGCCCGACGAGATGCCCCGCGCGACAATCGACGCCGCACGTCCACCGACTTCCGCCCGCATGACGGAAGAAACGACCCTGGAAAGTACCTGGGTACTCGATGCACGACGTTGCCCTGCTATTCTCCAGCGAGCGAATCCGCGATCGATTTGTTACCACGATCGCTTCCGTTTTCGAGGCAACGCGCGTCGCATTCCTGACAATTCCTGATTTCACGTCGCACCAACCACCCCGGGATCGAATCGTGACTCCACTCACGAGAATAATCCGTGATAATTACGCATTACGTGCTATACGCGCGGAGAATCAGCTCAATTGGAGATATCGTCAAGTGTCTGGATATATTGCAACTCCGCCTTCTCGATACAATAACAGTGGCGAAAGAGTCGATTGATGCTTGCGTTTCCGCAAATTCAACGAAGTCCGGTTAAATGGACAAATGGTGGTTCGTCGCGGAAAGCCGCGGGGCTTTGTGCGCTCGACATCCGATATGAGAACGACAGTAAAGAGAGCTGCCGATATTTCGCGAAGGGCACGTACCCGATTATCTCTATCGCGAATTCGAGTTTCCAGTTTCCAAGCTCGCGGGTCTCTCTCTCTCTCTCTCTCTCTCTCTCTCTCTCTCTCTCTCTCTGCAACCGACGGGATCTCGTCATAAACGTCGCGCGCTCATCAGGAATGCGTGTGGGTCTTTATCTCAATCCTTCATTCCAGACGATTGCAACGTCGCTCGTGTCTCATCGCTTCCGCAACTCACTCCCAGTTATATCTATGAACAAACTCGAGAGTCAACTAGTTATTTGTTTTGCCAGATTAGAACACCAGTTAGAGTGTAAGGGGTGCGAAGTAAATCAAGAATATTATCAATTCCATTGCCTCGCCTGTTCCCGACGACTGCGTTGGTGATAGCTCTGCCGGGGATTAACGGAGATTAATGAGGAACAAGAGTAAGGTTAACGAAGAATAATGAGGATTAATGAAGGAATCGGAGCACGAGAGAGATCTTGTCCCCCGAGCACGCGGGATATCAAAACCACTGACCTTAATTTTCGCAACGCGTTCCCCCTGCACTCGTGACGTGTTTATGCGAACAAATGGCACCTCTCATGAATACCTCTCCGAAAAAAAAAATGATTCTTTTAAAATAATTTAAAAAAAGTGAAGTCTCTTTATTTATTTTTTTTTTAGGTACCTATAATATTATGATACGTCGTCGTTTACGCTTTATCGTACATCCAAAATTAAAGCTTTATCTTGTTTAGTGTCATTGTCGGTATATATATATATATATATATATATATATAAAGTATCGCTTCGCGCATTATCAAAGTAGATAAATAAAGTTCGAGAGATTCTATCTAAAGTTTAATCCCGCAGCCGCGAGGCGCTATCGAGCCGGGCAAAGGGATGAAACCGCTTTACATTGTCGCCGTTAACTTACCGGCCTCGACAGCCGACCTGGCCCACTTTCCGCCGCCATTGCGGGCGCATTTGATACGCGCGACTCGAACCTGTGCCTTCAGAAATAACATATCCTCGAAGCGGGAATTTAGCAATTGCAGATCGCCGGCATCCCACACTTCCCCGATGTTTCGGATGTTTGTACGCCACGTTTTTCACTTCTTCTTCTAGCCTTCTGTAGTCCGCTCCCTGGAAAACGCATGAGAAAACATTTCTGATCACAAACGAAATCAAATAAATCTATTTATGTCTGAGCTACAGAGGCAAAAACCATTTCCTCTCTTCTCCCCCTCCCCCCCCTCTCTCTCTCTCTCTCTCTCTCTCTCTCTCTCTCTGTCTCATTTTCTCGTTGTCAGTCTGATGAAAAGAAATTGTCGCCCAGGAAAAATTCTGTGCGCGCAAAATGAAAAATACATATCTCATGACTATCCTACTGATGTGACTTTCCAGCAGAGATCGTATATAAGTTAATTGATACAACGCTGACACATTATTATTTCATCAAATTCAGCGATATCGTTGTATTATTATTTTATAAGATTATTGAATGGTGAAGAATGATCAGGAAAATTGAGATGGAAAGGGGCTTAAAGCAAAGAGGATTGATGGCGTTGCTCAGAACGGTAAGATTATAGGGATGTTAATGGCTTAGGAATCTATAATGAACATGGATTTGAGATTGATGCAAACCTGTTTGCGTGTGTATGTATATGTGTGAGAGAAGAGGAGGGGAGGGAGAGGACAGAGAGATAGTGTCAAGTGGGGAAGGAGGAAAATCCAGTGGCAGTATTTCGGGAATGTGTGAAACTGATCTGCCAACACGATGCCCGCAGGATGGTTTATGTTCGGGCATGAGAGTGATCTCGCCAGTGTTATTAACTGAGGATGACATGAATGACAGGATCGTATCGCAAACTTTTTTATGGAGATTATGTGACGACAGCGCCAGAAAAGAAAAGATATGGAACGGTGAAAAGTGAACGAGAGAGAGATATAAACGAAAAGGGTGTAGAAAGTCAACGTATGCAAACGCGATCCACCATTAAATTTATAAGAGATACCTCCTTATTTTAACATGACTGTCCGACTTTGGGAAGGAGGACGTCCACAAGTTTCCCTCCAGACCTTCAGTCTCCTCTTTTTTTTTATCAGTTGACTTTTATTATAGCAAGACAAACTTCCCACTTGATAAACATCCGCGTGGTTGCGCGCGTTCTTTAAATTCGAGCGGAACTTTCACAAAAGTGTATGCACTACGAAGAATCGTAAAAATGTATGCGTTATGAACTTTCTTTGAAACTATGTGAAACCTGATAAGTTGGGTGGATCCCAACATTAGCGGGACGACTATTTCATTCTAGCAAAATTTCCAAGTTACGTCGAACAATAATTTTAGTTCCCGGCGAACGAACGTCATTCTTTGAAAGAGCTACAATAATAACCGACTACTCGTACTATGCAATAAACCATTGTGTTAATTCTTTAATGTTATTGTTTTTTTAAATTAATTATTGACTTTTTATTGTTAATAAAAATTTTTAATAATAAAATTAATAAAAATAATGAAATCTAATAAAAAAATTCTAATAATAAAATTAATTTAAAGACGTAAAGGATACAAAAGAATTAATAACAGAAGAAGATTAGATAATTTATTCCAATAATAAATCTCTCTTTTATCTTTTTCTTTCTTGGAATTCTTGAGATCAAAGTCGGGAAACCTCTCTATCGAAAGATCGAACACGAGAAGCATTTCAAGCCAATCAAACCTTCCGCGAAATTAGAGCTATAAAATTTGAAACGCGCTTCGATCGTCGTCGCGATTGGCCGATGCGTCAAGAACGGCTCGTAGAACGACCTCGTGCAGTACTTGAAATGACGATCGATGCATTCCCAGTTGACTTGCTACCTTTTAGAACCATACATGTACGTCAATGTTCTAGTCCGACATAGAACACGATCTTATTAAAGCTGTTTGAAGCGTCCGGTTGCTGCAGTTTCTGCAATAAAGCGCTATGAAATTTAAACTTTGGCTCAAGAAACTAATCCGAGATCTTATTTTAAATACGAAATTAATATAGAGATTAATTACTCCGTCTGAGGTCATTCAAATGTCACTGACCTCACAGTGTTAACGAGATAAAAGCGACTTTAAAATAATTCAATATCCTATTCACTTTTTGTCTTGGACCTTTCCAGATGAGACTTATTAAGGTGATAACGTAATTACGCCAACCATAAGCTATAAGAGTTTTTGCGAGAATTAATTACGTCGGTTATACCGGAGAGACGGACTAAAAATCTGTTGATCACGAGAATTCCGAATGAGGAAATAAAAGGTGGCGTGAGAACGGGACATTATACAACGTCTTCCGGATCTCTAAAGGTTAAATGTAACGTCGATACATTTTTAATCACATTTCGCATCGTTCTGGCCATCGGGCCATTCCGTTTCACGGGCGAATCGTTATTCGTCGGTATTTAGTTCTCAATGAGTTCGTTCGAGAGGCACTTTCCTATCTCATTGTCAACAATCTCGACTAGTAGCTTCGGTTCTACATGGAGAGAGTGGGAGAAAAGAGAGAGAGAACGCAGTATTGTGTCGTGCCAAGTGACTCCTCGAGATGACCTACAATTGCTGTTTAAGTGGTCCGGTACGAAGCCAGTTATTACACAGTCGTAAACGGTCGTGTTCAATTTCCTGTCGTGGAACATTTCCCCTCTCGAAGGCCCCTTAGGTTTTCCTGATGACAAAGAGCGCACCAGGGATCTCCGCATTTTGAACGGTAAACAACAACGGTGGCGTGCTTACCCTCAAGAATCGTGTCGGAGAAAATAATTCTCTCTCCACAAGTTTCTTCCCTCCCTGTTACATCTCATTGCCGTCCCGCTATTCAGACTTTTCCGAGAGGTAACTATTCTCCAGGGTGTCAGTGTCTATTTTTAACTTATGCTATACGGCGTACGACAACGACGAGAACGATTATTTCTTGTTGCGATTAAGTAATTCTTCTCTTTTCCGGGGCACCGGAAACCTCGTGGTATTTAGTTTTTCTTTTTTTTTTTTTTTTTACTGGGGGAAGGGGAAGTTTGTTGGTTCACCTTCCATTTCCCGCGCTCTGGCTTCGGTACTATCCCGAGGTATCTTCTTCAGCGTGCGCATAGCCACTTTAACCGAGGGAATACCCCGACAGAGGTGCTGTATGCCACTGTCATCCCGGGATCTTCAGGGTACACAAACACTTAGCCGCCTTTTCAGCTTCGATAATATAAAAGCGCTCACCCCGTCGCCGTCGCGCGACAAGAGGAATATAATTTTCTCAATTTAACCCGGTAGTATTTATTACGCTATCGATATTACGATATCGAACGTGAGCATTCAGTGGGCTCGTGCAACTCTTGTCCGCTGAAACATTTTTCTCTCTTTCTCTCTCTCTCTCTCTCTCTCTCTCTCTCTCTTTGCCTCTATGGCTCTCTATCTCTTTCCGCGTGTAATAGAAATTTCGAGCACTGCGGCATTTTGATGAAACATGATTCCACTGTTGCGAGATTGTTAAAAAAAAAAATCAAAGTATTATTTTTACCGACGAAATCCAACTCTATGAAATGTTGAGAATTTAAGCGTAGTGCGTTTTATATATA